CGAGGGCGTTGCGGGCTCGGGCGGGGCGGCGGAGCCGGGGCGCGCTCACACGTGATGCGCGTTGTTTGTGTGTGTGCGCGTGTGAAATACACAGCTGCATGCCGAGCCGGGGCTGCAGCTGGGAAAAACTCCTTAAGCTGTTGTGGCGAGAGCGGTGCTGCTGGTGTTGTTGATTCAGCTGAAAAATCTGTATTTGTTTAAAGGCGCTGAAGGGAGAAGGAAGTGAAGTGGCAGTAAGCAAAGGGCTGAAATGTTCTGCCTGTGCTCTGGCAGATTGGGGAAGCCGTAAAATACTAGAAGCTTCAATTTTGCATTCCTTTAGAGGAAATTATAGTAAATTAAAAGTTAATAGCTTTTTCAACTTTTTTGCACATAGTGAGAAGACAAACAAAAATTCAGGAGTTACACGGTTAGATTTAAGAAATGTTATTTGCAGAGAGTGGTCATATCTTTCGTTAGACCAGGTAAATGGTTGAGAAAATGGCTCCTCCATAGAAAGCTATGTCAAATGTAGATCGGGCTTAAAAACAAGTAAGCAGCCCCTTCTCCCTGACTAGATACTAAAAAGCAAACAACAAAAAAACCATCCTCCAAAAAATAAGCCAAAACTATGCCAGTCTTTGATCTGGACTGACTCCATAAAACTTACAGGCTAAAAGGAATGTTCTTAAGAAAGATGCCAAGAGGTAGGCAGAACTCAAAAACTATGTTCTTTGGCAGTGTAACGTTACTTTCCACTCATAACAGTATCCTTTATGAGACTGTCTTAAGAAGTTTTACTCTAACCAGGGTTTTACACCACTTGTAAAACAGCATTGGTAACCCTGGTGTAGGTCCTATCTGCACTTGGTGGGCCTTGCAGAATAGCAGTTAGGGAGACATTACGAGGTTGGGCTGTGATGATAATAACCAGGGTTATATTAGAGATCCAGAATGGCAAAAGCGAGGTGACTTTCAGTAGAGTTATATAGGGAATAAGTGACAAACAGGAGTGGCTGCCAGGCTTCTAGAGGTGTCTTTCATCTGGTTAGATTCATGACTTCCTTCACAATTTTTCAGAAAAAAAAGTAATAAAGATTATAAAGGTATATGGGAAATCAAGAGTAAGGAACGTGAAGTGACTTAAATCAAGGCAGAAATATTAGAAACAGAAACAGGATCTGTTCCCCCACTAACTTGATTTTCTTTTTGCTGTCCTACTCTGTCTTTGGGAGGATTGCCAGGAGCCACATCAGGGTTTTGCGACCAGATCTGTGCTGTGGTGAGGACCTTGAGGGCTCTAGACTTAAACTGAGTAGTGTACTCATGCAACAGAGTGAATGAAGTGTTGAGAATTGTAATCATTTGTCTTCAGTGAATAATTTATTGTTTAAAAAAGATACACTTCATACAGTAATGGATTTTGCAGGTGTATGCCTCTTCTCCCTACCCGTAGTGGGGACATTTTCAAGGCCGAGTGAAGTGCAGTTGTGTACTGGGCCAGGTAGAGTTTTTAGTGGTGTGTGTATATATATGTGGATTTTTTTTAATGGCTTTGTTTTGTAGTACTACTTAGTAAACTGTATATACAAATTGTATGATTGTATTTTGTTTTCTGAACAGGTCTGGGACAAAAGTGAAAATGGGGATTGGCATTGCACTGCTAGCTGGAAGGTCTGTATTTATAAAAAACATGCAGTTATAACCATAATTTCTCACTTGTTTTTGAAGAAACGTATTTAGATTTTGCTGACTTGTATAGTAAAAGTACGTTTGGTTTGTAGTAGATTCTGTATTTCTTATGGTAAATTGTGTAAAACATCTCTAATGCCTCTCGCTTAGAGCAGAGGCTAGCATGCAGTCTTATATTATCAGTACTTAGTTAAGTTGCCAGACTTTTTTATCAGTAAACATAGCGGTAACTGGTGTTTAGGGAGTTGGAAGATGGTGCCTTCATCCTTTCTTCATATTGTAAGACTTTAAAAAAAAAGAGGGAAAAAAAAAAAAAGAAAAAGGAAGAGGTCTGGGTATTAAATGTTACAACACCTGACCTCTATTTTTTTTTTTTTTTTCAAAACCTTTCTGAGAACTGTGTCATATAGAGACTGCTTCATTAGGATAATTGGTGCATTCTGAATTGTCCTTAAACTTGTATTTAATAGGGCCACAATATAACAATCCCTGTAAATGGAAATGCAAGTGAAGCTTTTGAATTCCCCTTCTCTAAAAAAAGAAGCATTAGGTTGACTAGATATGAAAGGAGTTTTGTGTTATAAAAGAGAAGATAAGTCATGCTCTGCATGTGCTTTGGAAGAGTACAGGCAAACTAGAAGCATTGAAAACAAAGATATACTTTTAGTGTCAAGGCAGAATCTTAGTTTGGAACTTACGATTTAAAGGAGTCATGAATAAAGCCCTGAAATACCCTTGTAATAATTGCCTTTTAACCATTAACTTATAGCAATAGAACTTTGTCGTGCTTATAGGAATAAACAAATGCAACAGCTGCTGTGTAACTGTGAGCTTTATAAAAGAACGTAGTTTCAAAGGAATAGTTTTACTAGGTCCTATAATTTGCTTCTGCAGAAAGTAATGAAAATGCATGGTATCTTGCACTAATACAATAAGTATGTCTCTCTATAGTGTTTTGGTGCTCTCTTGCAGACACATAGTGGATCTGTGTGGCGTGTGACATGGGCCCACCCTGAATTTGGGCAGGTCCTGGCTTCCTGCTCTTTTGATAGAACAGCAGCTGTATGGGAAGAAATAGTGGGAGAGTCAAATGATAAACTCCGAGGCCAGAGTCACTGGGTGAGACTTTAACATTCATTACAGTTTCTGTATGTTCTCAAATAAACAGATTTACTGTGCCTCATGGATTTGTTTGCCTGTCATGATAGGCTGAAGGTTGAAAGTGTTTAAATTCCAGAATTAAACAGAAGACCGAATGTGGAAATTGTTCTACATACCAAGTTACTGGACATTTCTGGTTTTGCGACATATTTTCTATTCCTGAAACAGAGAAAGCACTGTGTTTTCTTCTATTAATATAAGGTGTTCCTGATTTTGCCTATGTTTTGTTAATTTGTGGCAATATTCCAGTATGGAGTAAGTATTTTTAAAGCATTTGGAGAAGACAGCTAAATGGCAACCTTCAGGCCGATTAGTGTCACTGCTATTGGTGCTTATTAATAAGATGTTCCCTGGCAAACAATTTGCAGACATGAATTCCCATCTACAGTAGAATTAAAGTTGTGGGGTTTTTCTTCTCTGACAAGAGTTCATTTGAAACTGTCTCATGCTGTTCTTTTTCATCTTTGAAAAAATTGATGAGGTTTTGGGGGGAAGTAGTTTGCATGGAAGTGGACTTTCTGGGTAGCATTTCATCGAGGGAATTTTAGATCTGAACAGATGGTGTGGTAGTGCATCTGTTCTTCAGGTGTAATCTTATACAAATCAGTTATAGTATTCCTACCTCTAATGTTTTACTTTGCTTTAGGTTGCTAAAATATCTGCAGTTTTCTATTTTCTTCCTAAGTTTTCTAACATTAATATACATAATCGTGAAGAGTTGGGTTGTTAGGACCTTTGGGTATGAAAGCTGACTTCTGTGTGCAGGAGGCAGTTATCATGCATAGTTTTCAGCACCAGCCCATACTTTGTTGGCAGGAGAGGAGACAACTTGAAATATAGATGTTACAATTTTTTCCTCTTTCAACCCTAGCTAATCTTCCTATCAAATGTCTGCTGTATTCATCCATTCTCTTAGCAGAAGTACTTGTTGTTTTGAAGTTTCTGTTCGAAAATGCTTCATGATACACCTCAGTGGCACTGGAATTAGAAAGTGGTGTTCCTCTAGGCATTGCGATTAGTATTGTCACCAGTATGAATGAAGAGGACAGTTTCAAACTGCTTGTGGCTAATACTCTTGTATTTTATGCTTATGTTGTGTGTCTTTTTTTTTTTTTCTGAAGAGCATAATGTAAAAAACTATTCGGTATCGGAACTTTGATACCACTGTGAGTATATATCTTGATGCTTGAAATTGCATCAGTGCAATGATCTGTCATTTCTCCAATTCGTTGGTGTATACAGAGTTGGTTTTTTTTAGTTCTTGATGGAAGAAGTAAGTGGGATCCTGTGAAATGGTGTTGTCAGTCTTTCCTTGGTCTTCTGTAGGGAATACGTTTTTTATGGACATTCTAGCATTTCCTTCAATAATTTCTGCCTTTCTTTGCAGGTAAAGAGAACCACTCTAGTAGACAGTAGGACATCTGTTACAGATGTGAAGTTTGCACCCAAGCATATGGGTCTTATGTTAGCAACCTGTTCAGCAGATGGAGTTGTAAGGATTTATGAAGCTCCAGATGTGATGAATCTCAGTCAGTGGTCACTGCAGCATGAAATCTCATGTAAGCTAAGCTGCAGTTGTATTTCTTGGAATCCATCAAGGTATGTTATTAAAATTGTACGTTTTGCTTTATGACTGTTTAAGCAGAAGAGCCAAATAGTTAGTCCTGAAATTTTGTAGAATAAATCTTAAAACATGCATGGAGAAGACTGAGTGTACATTACTCAGATCTGAAAGAAAGCTGCTAACGTTTCTTGTAATAAAGCAAATTTGGCAGAACCAGAAAAGTGTTATAGAAAGTCTTCCTGTACTCAGTGAGGAAATATTCCCAGCTTAATTATTTTTAGCAAGCAATGAGCTAAAGAGCTATGGAGTGCTCTGTATTTGCCTCACAAAACTTAACTGGGATTTTAATAAGAGACAGTGTTTATAGAGGGACAATTCCTGTCTCTTCTTTCCGTAAGAAAGGTGTTGCAGTAGGTAACAATTTTGATAACTCTAACAAGGACACACACCCTTGCCAGTGCAGCAGAGTACTAGGAACCACAGGAGTCTTGCTAGCACAAAAGACAAAGCCTAAGAGTTGTTCTTTCAGTTACATCCTCAGGGGCTCAATGATGTACTTAACCTTGAACAGGAAGGAATCAGAGAGGAGTTTGGTTGGGTAGTCCCCGCCCAGAAGAACACATACAAGCAGAGGTTCTCCTTTGCTTCCTATCTCACATCCTCCCTCAGAGATAACAGGAAGGGGAGAACCGTTCAGAGATGAACTGCTTTGGATTCTGTTTGTCCAGAAGCACTGAACAGCTTTCCCTATAGATGTACTGGTCTGTGTCCTGCTGATACGGTTATTATTCTCTTCATTAGTAGTAGTCTGTGCTGAAGGTTCAGAGTACAGACTTTCACTTTAATGCATGGGGTTGATTTAAAAACTAGAACCGATCCACATTTAGCTTTGGTAATATGTCTTTCAAAACCTGAAAGAAATCCCACTAAATCAAATCATTAGAAGTACTGCAAAGAATACAGACTCTGACATGAAACTTATGGCAAATACTTGACTGCAGATGCATATATAAAATCAGTCCTACTCTTTGGCAGCATAATCTTGAATTGCCAAGTGATGTTCCCTAATGATTTTAACTTAGCAGATGTATAAAGTGGGCTTTCAAAAGGACAGAATGGAGATTGTACTGGTAACTGTGAATAGTACACTTACTCATTTACATCTGATTTTTTTTTTTCCTTGTGAAATTTTTTTTGTTATTGTTCTGTTTTCTTTATAGATTATGTGTCTGCAATTTTAAGAAATGGCTTGGTGTACTTTCTGTAGAATCATTTGTAAATATAACTATTTATTTTCACCTTTTAGCTCTCGAGCACATTCTCCAATGATAGCTGTAGGAAGTGACGACAACAGTCCAAATATATTGGCTAAGGTTCAAATTTATGAATATAATGAAAATACCAGGTATGCTAAATGACACTATATAACATTTATGGGATCTTAAAGTAGTTTGTAATATATGACCTTTTATTTTGTTCCTGGCATTAGATGTGGAGTAGTAAATAATAATCCCTTAATTCTGTCTCTGAGCCATTGGATGGCAAAGGAGAGGGAGACCTCAGAATGGTAACTGATGTTAACAGACATGACATTGATAATTTTGTTCTGTCTCAGTACGGAAATGCCAGTGTTCTTACCAGCATTTAAGGGGAGAAATGTTTCTGCTTCTGCTAATTTACGTGCTTAATTCTGCTTAATTTTACATGCTTAATTAAGGAATTGATAGGGTAAAGTTGAAATTTGAATTGTGTTGCACCAGGCACTGTTTTGTTCAAAGTGACCTTAAAATGCTTTTAAAAGCACTTTTTAATGACAGAAAGTCCTGTGAATTACTAGTGTTCTGTGAAAGTTCAGTTTGTACCATTAAGAATTCAGAACCAGAAAAGGCCCGGAAGTGTGTGCACAACCTCTTTCAATTAAATTATGACAGACAATTTGTGTTTCATTTAGGGTGATTGGTGTGGGAAAGGAGCCAAGGTGTTTTGTGGATTTATGCCTGGCTTGACCATGTTCTCTGTGCATTAACAATACAGAAAAGTTGTTGTAACTTACCTGGTGGTAAATAAGAAAATGGAATACAGGTTTATCATACAGCAGAGGAGCCAGATAGCAGTCTGCTTACATGCACAGAAAATGTAGTAAGTTACTGAGACACAAATTCCCTTTAGAACTGTGAATGGAAGAATCTTATTTCCCTTTTCCAAGTGCAGCCAAAAATGTTCTTTGTGCTGGAATCCTTGCTTTGTTGTATGATTTAGCATACTGTTGCTAGTTACTGTACCTGATGTGTTCAATTTTTGAAGAAATCAGCTTGTAATTATTACTTCCAATTAAATTTACTTTTTATTTTTGCAAGTCTCATCATGTATACTAACCTCCTTTTCCCTGTTCCACTGTGAATGGTTTATATTGCATCACTGGCAATTTTGATGGCATTAAAAGTTAATTTCTTACCCTGTACAGGAAATATGCAAAAGCAGAAGCTCTGATGACAGTCACAGATCCTGTACATGATATTGCATTTGCTCCAAATCTGGGAAGATCCTTCCACATCTTAGCTGTAGCAACCAAAGATGTACGAATTTTCACGTTAAAACCTCTAAGGTGAGCTTAAAAGGAAGATAGTTTGGTATGATGTGGTGCATACTATATAGATAGACTTATTTTAATAGTATCTGCAAAGCAGAAGTAGGAACTTAATGTATGCAGGATTGGTTTTTAGCAGCCTGTTTTTTAAGATTACAAGATTGCAAGCAAGTGTCTAATTTTGTCTGAATACCTCTTAATACTCCTAATCTAGTAACAGTTGTTACATAAACTTCTTGAAAGCTGCAGTCCTCTCCTTTTGTTATCAAGTTCAAGCACAGACCTTGGAACAGTTGTGTGCAGAACTGTCACTTTTCTCTTAAACAGGAAAGAATTGACTTCATCTGGAGGATTAACAAAATTTGAAATTCATATTGTGGCACAGTTTGATAATCACAACTCCCAGGTGTGGCGAGTGAGCTGGAATATTACGGGCACAGTGCTTGCCTCCTCCGGTGATGATGGCTGTGTTAGGCTCTGGAAGGGTAAGGTCACCTACCTGAAATACATTAGCTTTGTAGTATGCTGTATATACTTGGGAAATTTTACTAAAAAAATAATTTTGGAGTAAAAGTTCATTTTAGATTTGTGAGTGACAGATTTTTATACTTCTACTTACATTTCATAAAAATGAAATAAATTTCTGTACAGGAACACTTGCATGATTTAGGCTGCTGTGAATAGTTGTTACTGTACCCTGAAATTGTTTCACCAGACTAGAGCTAGATAAAATTGTAATTTTAAAAATTAACATATATACTGCATTACTTATGCCTGCCTGCTGGCAAAACCAGAAAATCTACATTCAGTCACAATGTTCAGGCAAACTGGCTTTTTTTCTGTTTCAAAAGCAACTACAAAAAAACCAGTGACAGTTTCCTCATCCATTCTCATTTGTTTCTCAGTATTTTATTAAAGGGAACTCGTTCTTGCTACTGAATAAAACTGAGTTTTAAATTGTGGATAGGCAGAGAATGTCAGATGGCTGAAGGGCCAGATCCTCAGCTGTTGGGAGTTTACATACTGGTATTGAAGTTCACTTCTAATTTACGCCAGGTGCTGTGTAGCAGTTGAAAGGTAGTTGTATCAAAAGGTAAGCTTGAGATTACAAAGTAACAGGTTTTATATATCTGTATTTCCAGCTAATTACATGGACAACTGGAAGTGTACTGGTATACTGAAAGGTAACGGCAGTCCGGTGAATGGCAATTCTCAGCAGGGAATTTTTAATGCCTCTCTAGGTTCAGCCAATACAAGTCTACAAAATTCACTAAATGGATCATCTGCCAGCAGGTATGCTAATTAGTAGAGAGACTAAATTTCAGTAAATAGTCTCTTCTCTGAATCTTCTTAATTTCACTTAACTTTCATGTTTGTTTTATTAAAGTGCAATGTCATGTATTGAATTAATACTTCTGCCAGCTCTTCTGGTTTTGCTCTGTGATGGTGTCTGTTATGCCAGTGTTAAGAGGAAAACGAACAAAACCATAATCCATTCTGAATCATTCTGTATAAATAAGCATTGTAAACAACGATTTTCACTTTTAGTTCTTTCACATTTTAAAAAATAACTTTTCTGAAAGAGTTTCAGACAGGGAGAAGTTTCATCATACGGCTGTGTAACTGCCCTTTTGTTTTAGCTGCATGTTTAAAAGTGAAGTAAAAATACCAGCAGCAAATTCTGTTTTTCACTTGGATAATGTAGCAGAAAGGAAGGAGGAAAAGTTACTTCAGAATGTATGGTTTCAACAGGCATATACTAGTGTTAGTTTACTTGCATTTTTGCAGGTGTAGCATCAATTGAATAAAAGTTTTTGGTTTTTTTTAATCATTTGTATTGCAGATTAATTTGCTTTCTCTGCTCTGTCTTACCCTGTGATAATTGCTGTTCAGTAGGTAAATTTAACTGTCTCTTCTGAAAACCATTTTAATTTGTGCACACCGCAATCTAGAAATATACTGAGCCCCTCTTTTGTATGGTGGAATGTGTACAATCAACTTTACAGAATGTGTCTTCTGGAAGGACTAGATGTGGCCAAATTTCATACCAGCAGCAGCTTCCAAGTTTTGTGGCCACCTGTTTTTTTTTTTTTTTTTTTTTTTGTTTTTCAAATGCCTTGGGATAGCTTCCTTTTCCATCCGTGTACAGCTACTAATATGGCTTTTTTTCCATTTAAAATGCTTATCTGTAAAGTAGTATGAGTTGCTTCTGGAGAGTAGCTCTTGCCCCTACTTCAGCAGTGAATCCTCAATGGCACTTCTGGCTTCCAGATCCCTAGCTCTGTGGAACAGAGAAGGGCTTTCATGTTTTCCTCGCAGGATAAATGGGAGAGCAAGAGGTGGCAATGGGCCAAATCTCCAGAAAGACAGGAGGCCAAAACGGTATTGGTCATCTGGTTCCAGGTGCTACTTACAGTGTAGGAAGAAAATGCTGAAATGCAGTACTGTCTTGGAAATGTGATATCCAAAGCTATGTAACTGTATATTTTTGGGGGCTTCTATAGGGAGATACAGACTATTTTATACCTCTTTAGTATAGGGCGTGGTTTCACAGTTTCCTTATCCAAGACTGTGCTGCTGCCAGCAAGACTACCCTACCTCTTTGGTTGTTCTCCTCTCTCTGTAGTTGATAAGCCATTGTGAAACAAACTTGTAGCATTATTTTAGACTTCTTCCATTGCTCTGTATTTTGAAGGTGTTTTTTGTTTTGTTTTTTAATAATTCTCAGTTCCAATATAGAATTAATATTTTGTTACAGAATTAAGTCCATGGCTGTGGAATTTCAAAATACATGGTGTCTTGTCTTAGGATTGAGCCTTACTATAAAAAAGATGCACTTAACTAAGTTTTCTTTTTTAGTCACATTGGCTTGAATTGCATAAGCACAGTTGCTAACTTTTGTTTTAGTATATTAACACTTACATTAAAGATTTATGTACTGACATTTAACTAAATTTGGTATGCTACACAGAATTTATTTTGCCTGTAACTGTAGAGGCCATGTTTCAGTGTCTATACATTTAAACACAACAGCTAAAGCATAGGCAGACCTGGAAGATTTTGTTAAAGCACAATCACCAAACTGGATTTGTAATAGAAATAGTTTCAGAACAGATGATGTAGATTGTTGGAAAATAAGTTAGTAGGGCTATATTGTTATGTTGATGTAATTGTATGTCTAGATTTATGATACAATTTCCATTCTCCATTTGTATTATGTCCTTTTTAACAGAAAGCAGAGCTGATACCAAGCTAACTGGAGTAACTTTGGTGTTTTGCTGCTTGTTGCATGCACACAGGAATGGAAAACGAACTCCTTTTTCCCCTCCCCAACGTCGTTTGACCTCTCCCAAGACACCAGCAGCCTGCTAACTACTAAATGCTATTCAGAAAGCCTTTTTAAAACACGTTGTGTATGTTTTTTTGTACTAGCCCGCACAGTTTGATACTGTTGGAGCTCCTGATAGAAATATACTTTGAGAGGCTTCTTGTTTGGAAAAAAAATGCAATCAAACAACAATCCCAACCCCAAAACTTCCATCAAAACATTTTTTTGGAAGCTTGTCAAATTAAAAGACTAGTTCATGACTAAAAATTAGAATTTTTGTCCTTGATTGGGATGGGAGGAGGGAAGTGACCATTAAAATAATTTTCATTAAAATTGTTTTGATAACTAAATTGGTTTGCATTTCATAGTGCTCAGCATTTGATTAAGATTCCTAAACATCAAAAGTTTGTAACTGCTTTGTAAAAAATGAAAACATGTTAGTTTTAAAGGAATAAGAAAACTGTGTTTTGACGATTGTACAGATGATTGCTTTTAATAGTTTGGTATTGCTTCATTTATACCTTGGTATGACTTCAAATAAATGTTTTGTAAGTACTGTCATACTTTCTACATCCTAAGATAAGTACTTTTTCTGATATGAACTTATGCATTCCTGTGGTAATAACTCCATGGAATAACTAAAATTCTCGAAGCATAGTACCCTAAAAATGCAAACACTTGAGCCATACAAAGATTGAAACCAAAATGCAGCTTTTTTGTGAATTGTCCCATAATTTCATTAATCATATAGCTGTTCCTTTATGTAAGTCTGCAGAACTGTAAACGAGACAGAAAACATCCGTAGGTGTCTAATATAGTTATACTAAAATGCACAAGAATTACGGGTAAGTTCTAATAAAAACGGCAAAAGAGTGACACCAAATGGCATAATTCTGAGTCTTGCATTCACCAGGAATCTTAAATTTATCCTGAGGATTTTGCAGAAACATGTAAATACATACAAAGACTGTATTTCATTGAAAGTAGTTATTCTCTGTAAATTTATATTATTAAAGCATTGTAAAAACAATGATGTTTTTACATATATTCTAGGAAGTGATGTGAAGTTGATCTGAATTAAATGCATATGCAGAAAATGTGCTTAGATAACATTTAATGTATATTTTGTGTTGCAAATTAAGCGTTCCTAAAAGCTCTGCTAACAAATCGCAGGAATTCTGGGACAATGGAAGCCTGTTAGTAGCTGTGCTACAACATCCTTTTGATTTCTGAAGCACTCTGGTTTTTTGTAAAAGTGTATACTAGGATTATTATTACGGTATTCTTTTCAATGAATTTCAGTGGGAAAGACTGTATTATTTTCCTTTAAAGAACAGTTTCCAAATTTGTCTTGTTTTGAATTACAAGCCTTGATTTCTGCTATTATGTTCTATTGGTTTTGGCATGGATATGCTAAAGCCTTTTTATTTTTTTTCCAGCATGTCTTTTCTCCCCTTTGGTTCTCCTTGTATTTACTACCTTTCTCTTTTTCTTGTTTTGTTTTGTTTTTGTTTTTGTTTTGGTGTTTTGTTCCTTTCTTAATTGTTTCAGGTATTTCTTTCCCCCTCTGGATTCCCCACGGGCTGGATCGAGATGGTCCAGTCACGCCCAGCTCCTTCCTCCTCCTCCTCTGATAGAGCACTCTTGCGATGCTGACACTGCCAACCTCCAGTATGCCCACCCTCGCAGACGATGTGTATCTCGGCCTCTTAATCTATTACCTGAGAACGAAGGGGTTTGACAGGTTACTTTAAATTCTGAAGGGCCTTATTCTGGTGTTTGTGAATGCTTACATTTCTGGCTGCCTTTGTATTTCTTCCCTCATACAGAAGATTTTAAAAAATGTGGGAACTTCATGCATGTTTTGCAAAACAAACTACATTTGGAACATGTTGTTTATGTGTATCAAAGGAACATTTTAATCTGTACCCTTTGAACTATGGCAACACATACAAACAGTATTAACCATGAGCTATTTACGGAGTAGCTGACTACAATGTGCCTGTCTTTTTTTTTTTTTTTTTCCTTTTATTTTTGGAATCAGTTTATTATGGTCTCATATTTTTCTTTCTTTTTGTATTTTGCACTGGCAAATGTGAAATAGATTCTCAAAATTAAACATTACTTCAAGAAGTTGTTGAGTAACTAAAAGATGATATTGGATCAACTCAAAAGAAACAAAACCATTCCTGTGTATACTGCAGCAAAATAGTTTGGAGTGTTTGGTTACTTAAGAATTTTCCATCTTCCTGTGTAAATATTTAAATTTTATAATTGCAGTTGACTAATAAACTTTATAAAAGGGCTGTATTAGTGTGCTTTTTCTTGTAATAGGCTTTTTTTTTTTTTTAACAGGCTCATGATAAAGAAGCTTTTTTGATTTACATGTCTATTCTCATAGCTTTGCTTTTGGCAAGTTGAGCTGTTCTGGATGTGCAATTGCATGTTACATTTTTCTGCTACAGGGTGTGCTCTGACTTTTGTTACGGATGTCTTGAAGGTCTGGAGAGACTGTAGAGTTGTTGGATTTAGAATTATCTCATAATTCTTTTCCAGTGATTGAATAATACATTTTGAAGAAATAGTACTGACTGAAAAGCCTTCTTTTTTGATGTGTCTGCACAGGAATGTCATTGCTGTGGATCAGCATGCTGGCATTGGCTCAGCTTTGGCTGGTGTGAGACAGGTGGGAGGATAAAACCGGGCAATTACTACATAGGAGGTTCCATTTGAATATGAGAAAAAACTTCTTTACGGTGAGGGTGAAGGAGCACTGGAACAGGCTGCCCAGAGAGGTTGTGGAGTCCTCTTTTCTGGAGACATTCAAAGCCCGCCTGGATGCGTTCCTGTGTGATCTGATCTAGGTGTTCCTGCTCCGGCAGGGGGATTGGACTAGATGGTCTTTTGAGGTCCCTTCCAATCTCTAACATTCTGTGATTCTGTGATAGTGGTGTTGGGGTGTAGCATTACTGTACAGGGGGTAAGTGCTGAGCTTGTTTGGCAGATCTTAGGGAAAAGAAGGACAAACATGGACTCTGTGCAGCAGAAACGCAAAAGCATACTTGGGTGTTTCAGCATGCTTCACAATGGGCCTATGCTCCTTCCTTGACTAAACCACCAAGTGTAAGGTAACAGAGAGTGCAATGTCCATTCTTCCAAAATGATCGCAAGGTCCTGAGAGTTTTACTTGTACTCTGAACGCTTTACTTGCTCATATGCTATATTTTTGCTCAAATATATATACTAATTTACGAAAAAACCATGAGAGGCAACACTGGTGTTACGGAGTGCTTGCTGAATGTGCGTGGAGGTAGGCTGCTGCTGTTTTTCTGCCAGCAGGAACAGAACTATGGGGGAAAAAAAAGTTTAGTAAAAGCAAGTACTTAGACCTTTTTACCGAAAAGTTAACTTTTATGGAACTGTGCCATACTTTGTATGGTGAACAACAGAAATGGTAAATGATAAATAGGGCTAGAATGTAACTATTCCTCTGGAATATGCACTTCTTCAAACTACTGCCTCCCTTTTTAGTCATCTCTCTTGCTCCCATGACTCAAGATTATGAACTGTACCTCTGTGCAGGATCTGGGTCCTTGAACATAAGCAGCAGAACCCTAGGAGGGAGATTGCAGAAGAGCTTCAAAAGGGATGATTACAGCAGGTACTGACTATTTTAAATTTATCTAGTACTTTGTAAGGCTGCTGTCCCTTTGTGGTTTTTTTTGTTTGTTTGTATTTTTGTTTTTTCCCTTCTGAAATAAGATTTGTGTTACCTGGTGTAGTGTTTATCTGCTTATCTCAGCTTGAACTTCCATGACTGAAAGTTTTTGGGCCTTGTAGGAGCCAGGACCTGGCTTTGGTTTTGTTGTTTGGTTGGTTTTGTTCTGAACATACTTGAACACAGTGTGAAATTCTGATGTATGATTTTTCACTCTCTTTCTAGCTTTTTGCAATCGCTGTACCAGGAATACAACTGTAGAAGGGGTGCATTGCAAAAATGTCCTGGAATAATACTGAATTTGATGCAGATCCGTCAGAGTGGTGATACAGACACACACATATTCTTGCGTAATTTGTTCCGTAAAGCAGCTGCTCCCTTCTCCTCCTCTACTTAGTGTGACATTTATGGTTCAAAATGTAAATAAAATTTTCCAGGTACTGTCTATAAACTGCACATTACTCAGCCTTATGTAAACGACTCATACAGCAACGCCTCGGCAGAAAAAAATGTCAGTAATATAAACAACGCCTGTCAGCTAAACAAAAAGTCACTGAGGCTTTCTCTCTTTCACACGGGTGCTGAGCCATCCGTGGTGCCACTCCCCTGGAAGACCCCGAGCCCGTATCGGGATTCAGACCTTACCGGTCCCGAGAGCGAATACGTGAAACAACCGCTCTCCTCGTCCCCTTCCGAAACCACTCCTCAGCTAGCGTTAGCCCCGCGCATCTACCCGCCTCCGCCCCTCCG